CAGAAGAAGTCAATGGATCTATAACTGGAGTTACAGTTGTGTTGGTCCTGACAACCAAACCTGGGTCTTCTGTAAGAGCAGCAGCAAGTGCTCTTAATCACTGAGTCATCTTTCCATCTTCCATTATTATTATTATTATTATTATTATTATTATTATTAATTTTGCTTTTTTTTTCTTTTTTAAATCAGGATCTCTCTATGAAGCCCTGGCTGGCCTGGAACTTTGTAACCCCGGCTGACCTGCCTCTGCTTCCCAAGTGCTGGCACTAAAGGTGCATGCTCCCTGTGCACGTGTGTGCATGCAGTACCTGCAGAGGCCAGCAGAGGGCGTCATAGCCTCTGGAACTGGAGTAATGGACAGTTATGAGCTGCCATGTGGGGTGCTAGGAATTGAACCAGGTCCTCTAAAAGAGCAGTCAGTACTCTTCACCACTGAGCCATCTCTCCAGCCTGTTTTTAAACCTTTTTAAAAAGGTTTCTTATGCCGGGCAGTGGTGGCTCACGCCTTTAATCCCAGCACTCTGGAGGCAGAGGCAGGCGGATCTTTGTGAGTTTGAGGCCAGCCTAGTCTCCAAAGCGAGTTCCAGGAAAGGTGCAAAGCTACACAGAGAAACCCTGTCTCGAAAAACCAAAAAAAGGTTTCTTATTATATGTGTGTGTGTGTCCATGTATGATGGGGTGAGGCTCTTGCCACAGTGTGTGTTGGAGGTTTGAGGACATCTTTGTGGGTTCAGGTTTTCTCTTTGCACCTTTATGTGGATTCTGGGGATTGAACTCAGGTCCTTGGCTTTGCCTGACAAGAGCTTTACCTGCTGAACTATCTTACTCCCCTTTGGTTTTGGTTCTGTTTTCTGAGACAGGGTCTTTCTCTGTAGCCCAGGCTCTTCTGGAATTCACCATGTAGTCTAGACCGGCCTTGAACTAGGGCAATCCTCAGCAACCTCCCAAGGGTTGAAATCAACACGTGATTACTGAGTAGATACTGTGTCACAGGCACCGTGGAACACAGTATAGTAGGTCCCTAACGTCAAAGCTGGAATCCCACACAGAGTTGGGAGCCACCGTGGGACAGGATAGAGATTAGAGGGTGGAGGAAGGGGTCGATGAAGGTCAGAAACTTCCTTGGAAAAGGGACAGTGAGCCAGGCAGTGGCACACACCTTTAATCGCAGCACTCAGGAGGCAGAGCCAGGCGGATCTCTGTGAGTTCGAGGCCAGCCTGGGCTACAGAGGGAGATCCGGGACAGGCTCCAAAACTACACAGAGAAAACCTGTCTCAAAACAAACAAACAAACAAAAACCCTGTCTCAAGACTGCCCCTCCCCCCAAAAAAAGAAGAAGAACGAGGCGAGGCGAGGGTGATCCTCCTGCCTGTTTACCATGCTGTACTTCTCTTGTCTCCCTCCCTCCCGGATCCTTCCGTCCCTGCTCAGTCCTATCTCCTCCCTTCGGCATGCTCTTCACCCATGCTTCAGTGCCTGCCCTGTCGTTCTGTTCTCCCCACTGCTTCCCCCAGCTCTGTCAGCTTCTACGCCACAACTTCATGTGGTGACCCGGCTTCCCCCACCCCCTCCCAGCCCAACCCAGAGTCCTGCTTGGGTAACCTGCTGAAACCCAGGTCTGGGACTTAGAGCCATCTCCTAGGCTGCCACTGCCTTTGTCCCTGCTGGCCTCTCTCCTGGGGAAGTCACCCCGGGGCTTGGGGCTGGAGAGAGTGACACGCGTCTGTCACTGACATGGATGCGGTAAGATGTGCATGAGGGGAACCGCTACAGAGGCGCTCACGCGGACGGGCCAGACTTTATTGTGAGGACTGAGCACACGGATGAGGAAAATCAGTTCTCACGGGACCGCAGCGAGAAGGGAAGAGAAGACACGGAGAAAAACCAGTGACTGGATCCTGGGAGAAAGCAGGCTGGGCTTCTTGGAGGAGCCTGTGATGCAAGAGTCTTTCTCATTTTCGGGCACCCAGTGCCAGGGCAATGATAAGGCCCACGACCAACAGGAACATGGCAACGGACAGCAACACTGTGATGACCACCATGCCTCCCGTCCGGGCCATTCCTAACCCGATAGACTCCATGTTCCTTCCTGGCAGGAGAAGAAAACCTTTGTGGGTTGGAGGGGCCCCTAGCCAGGGCTCACAGCTTAGCCTGGCCATCTAGCCAGCCAGCAGTTCAGCAACAACGATGGACTTCTCATAGCAACACTTGGGAGTCACCAAGGAGATTTACCGGAACACCATTCCTCCACACCGGGAGCCTTGAGTTCCGCAGATAGCGAACAGGAGGGGGTTATAGCAAACATTCATCAGGAGAGAGCTCTGAAAGCAATTTAGTTAACTTGCTCTAGGGATAAAGTCCGGAGCTCAAGGAGGTGGATGGACACTTGAGATGTGGGAAGAGGTAGGTATTTTACTTACGAGGAAGCGTGGACATCGGGGTTTCTGGACTGGACTCGGTGGACGTCCCCTTCTGCACTCGGTAGGAAATGCTTTAGAGGTGGGAGTTGGGAGAAAGCAGAGATCCCCAGTGCGTATCTGGCACTTGGGAGGCGAGGTCCCAGGCCCCACCTTCATAGCTCTGTCCCCCAGCTGTGCCCTCCTGGGGTGAAGGCCCACAGTCCATATCCTTCAGCGGTGTCCCCTCTTCCTCATGCTCACCAGCACCCACCCACCCCCAGCTTCTCTCTGCATCTCTCCGCATCCCTCCGCATCCCACGTGTGTCCATCCGGTACCTACTAGTATTTAGTGCCTGGTGTTAGGTCTGTCACCTGATAGGCGCTGAGCCGGGTGACGGTGAAGCCAGCCCCACTGTCCACCACGCTCACTAGCTCCCTGCGCCCGCGGCATGGAGGCACCACAAAGACTGATCTAACCACTGATGGGAAATAGGAGTGAGAGGCAGAGTCAGACTTCTAGCAGTCCCACGGAGGACGGACAGCCCTTGGGTATCGTAAGAGAGGTTAACAAGGAAGCATAAACAGGTACAGGGAAGCCGACCTTTGCTGTCGTTGGCTCTCCGGACCATCAGTGTGGCGTTCCCTCCCGTGAGGTGACATGGGGGCAAGGCAATCAGCAGGCTTTCTGTTAGCGCCGGAGACAGCAGACCAGAGAGGCTCGAGATGTTGAAGTCTGCAATAAAGTCAGGAGGGAACGCGGCTGGAGTTAGCCTCACTCTCAACTCCGATCTGGCCGGGGGTCATTGCAAGGGGCGCAGAGTCAGGACAGGCCCGTGCGAATCTGACCACCAGAGGGCAGGCTTGAGCTGCAGATGGCGGATACGCCGAGCTGCCTGGGAGACAGTCTAGACTCTAACAAGCCAGTCAGTCCCGACCTCACCCCACCCCGGCAAACCTGGAATCCTTCCCACACTTCTCCTGGGTCAGGAAGAAGCCTAGGAATTTGTCACCCGGGCCACTACCATCGCTAGCCCTCAACCCCAGCCAGCTAGACCAACACCCTCTTCGAGAGGCCTGGAAGAGGCAATGCTCGCTCTCTAGAGTTCTAAAACCCTCCTCACTCCCACCAGAAATAGAGACCTGCAGCCCCCGGAGCCAGGACGGCCAGCAGAATCAGGAACAAGGGCAAGGTCTGGACAGGCGGCGTGGATGTCATACTGCTCTGGGAACTGGATCCTAGAACAGGCTGCGGCTTCCTGAGGCCAATGAGGCCCTGCCCCAGGGTGGCTGATTTTGTCTTGGGGTGGGTGGGAGGGGCTGCTGGGAATCCAGTCCAACTTGCCCCTTGAACACTGTAGCCTCAGGGAGGGCCCCCAAACAGGTTTTTCAGGACCAGGAGCAGGCCCCAGGCCCAAAGGGGGATGCCCTGGCTGGGTCCTGGCAGCTTACTTAGCTGCTGGGGAGGATGACTCCTTCTCTGAGAACTCCCATGTCTGAAGCACAGGGTTCCTCTACATGTGTCTGCAGCCTTGCATAGAGGCTGCTTCTCCCCAAGGAGGTAGGAGTGTTCCTAGGAGGGCCGCGAGTTCTGGAGTTGGCCTGCTCTGGAGGGAAAATCCAGGGGTTGAAAGGACTCCCGTTAGTAAGAATGGGGGAGAGGGAGATTGGTTGCTTGGGGTTGGGATATTAGAGTCGGAGTTTCTATTCCTGTGTTGACTGAGGCCCAAGACACTGCAGCTCTGTGAGAAGCTGCCAGTGCCAGCGTGAACCTTCAGATTTCCCTAGAGGGTGGGGACAAGGAAGGCCAGAGAAGGCTTCCGGAGAGGTAGATGCTGGTTCGGCCCAGCAAGGATGTCGGGCTGTAGAGCAGACACAGACTGGGACCGCAAACATTGCTCAGCTGGTGGAGAATAAAGAAGAAAAACCTTAGGAAACAAGAGACAGGAACATCCTGAGTCCCAGGCCAGCCTGGGCTACACAGTCTCAAAACAAACCAAGCAGGGTGTAGAGGGGCCTTCCAGTACTCGGAAGGCAGAGGCAGGAGGATCTCTGTGAGTCTGAGGCCAGCCTGCTCTACGTAGTGAGATCCAGGACAGTCAGGGCTATGTTGAGAGACCCTGTCTCAAAAAACAAACAAACAGGGCCAGGTGGTGGTGGCACACATCTTTAATCCCAGCACTTGGGAGGCAGAGGCAGGTGGATCTCTGAGTTTGAGGCCAGCCTGGTCTACAGAGTGAGTTCCAGGACAGCCATGGCTACTCAGAGAAACCCTGTCTCAAAAAAACCCAAACCAAAACATAACAAAAATCAACCAGAATAACAACAAAACCCCTCAGGACAAGATAAGCCAGCGACAACAAAAAGATGAGAAAGAGCTGGGGATGTAGCCCAATGGTCAGGTCATGTGCATGAGGCCCTGGGTTTCAATCTCTGGTACCACAAGACCAACACCATTTCCTGGTGTCCCCCACCTCAGGCTAAATAAGAGAAGTAAAGGAAGTTTTCCAACCAGAGGCAGAGGAGAGTGACGTGGATTTAGACGCCCCTGCTCTGAACGCTGGGCAGGACTCAGCATGCCCTCACTCTCTTGACCAACAGCCATGGGAAGTGGCACTGCCTTTCATAGATATGGAGCCTGAGACTAAGACAGGTTGTCACCTGTCACAGGGGGGCGGGCTTTTTCAGACTGGAGAACTCTACAGAGCCTGAGCTCAGAACCCTCAGTGTCTGGTCCAGGAACCACCCATTTTCCCCAGTCCCAGAGAAAGGGTCAGGGTCCTAGCCGAGGAGTGGAGACCAGTTAAGGGCTGATAGGGTTGTCTTTCCCCCATGGTGGGTGGGCTTAAAGCCTGGGATGCGAGGGGGATAGAAGACAGAACCTGGGGGCCCAGGCAGACAGCAGGGGGGGCTCGCACCAGAGTGTCTCCAAATTTACTGTGCAATGGACTATCGGGGAATCGGTTCAAAGGCAGCTTCTGATTCAGTGGGTTTGGGGTAAAGCTTGAAACCACATTTCTTTCAAATTTTAAAATGACATTTATTATCTCGTGTACGTGGGTGCCCACGTGAGCCACAGAGTACATCATATGGAGAGCAGAGGACAGCTGTGTGACTTGGTTCTCTCCCTTCACAATGTGGTTTCTTGGTCTCAAAATTCTGATCATCGGGCTTGGTGGCGACAGCCTTCACCTGTTGAGTTGTCTGTTTCCTGAAACTGCATTTCCAAGGCGCTTACAGCTCTCTCTCTCTCTCTCTCTCTCTCTCTCTCTCTCTCTCTCTCTCTCTCTCTCTC